TATGTTTGAGGTTTGAGATGGGATATGTCCATGTGCTAATGGGTAAAGATGGGTATGTTTGAGGTTTGAGATGGGATGTACATGTGCTAATGCTAGGGTAAAGATGGGTATGTTTGAGGTTTGAGATGGGTTGTACATGTGCCAATGCTAGGGTAAAGATGGGTTTATTTGAGGTTTGGAGATGGGATGTTCATGTGCTAATGCTAGGGTAAAGATGGGTATGTTTGAGGTTTGAGATGGGATATGTTCATGTGCTAATGCTAGGGTAAAGATGGGTATGTTTGAGGTTTGAGATGGGATGTTCATGTGCTAATGCTAGATAAAGATGGGTATATTTGAGGTTTGAGATAGGATGTTCATGTGCTAATGCTAGATAAAGATGGGTATATTTGAGGCTGGAGATGGGATGTTCGGTGGCTGAAATGGTATAGGATGTGCTTGGATATGGACGGTTTATCTGTTTGGGATGAGATGTTTCAGGAACACAGTGTAAGATGGTCCTGTTGAATAGTGGGTGAAAGCATCAAACATCAAAGAAACATTTTAAATAATTATAAATATATAGATAAATCAAAACTAATATACAGAAACTAAAACTAGGATGAAATAGGATTAAGCTCACAATCAACATCTTATTGTACACGTTGTGTAATACTGTGGAATACTTTATTTTCGCTGGAATTAATTTTTGCTGAAAAAGCTTTTTAGGCGTTTTGTATGGAATTTATTTTCACTGATTTTTGATGAGCTTAATGTTAAATATAGGAAAAAAGGTATATTCACTGGATTTTATTTTCACGGAATCATCCCTTCAGCGAAAATAGCGAAAATAAATTCCAAGCGAAAATAAAGTATTCTACAGTACTCTGGCAATAAGATAGCAAAAGCAGTTTCTCCTTCTGTAATATTTAACCACTCTACACGCTTGACTTGGTAATTTTTTGTACTTGCTGGTTTCCCAGTGTTTTAAGGATTGAGGAATGCTTTTTTGTTGATTTTTAAGGAATATTTTCAGGTGTGATGGTTCAAACAATAGACCCCATACTCACAACAGCATCCTACATTAATATAAACTATGATTACCTGATAACAGACATCCGATTCTACGATGTGCCATCAGTCGCTTCCTAACAGCTTCTGTCAACATCAAACGAATGTTTTCTTTAATATCTTCACCTGCAATGAGGAAATAGTGGACACTAATAAATTGTAATGCAAGAATGAAATTATGTAAGCATAACTGTGGCACAGAAGTGGGTGTGGTAAAAAATTGGGTGTAGAAGAAAAAATAGGTGTTACACAAATTGTTTTCAGAAGCAAAATATTAGTTCAACAGAAATGGTATAGTCACATTTATAGACATGGGCGTAGCACAGAAATGGGCATAACACAGGAATGGGTGTGGCACGAAAATGGGTGTGGCACAGAAATGGGTGTGGCACAGAAACGGTAAACAATTGGGTGTAGAAGAAAAATATTAGTGCAACAGAAATGGTATAGTCACATTTCTTCTATCATAGAGGAACTGTGGGGCAGTACAGAACTAGATGTGGCACAGAATGGATATGGTATGAAAATACAAGTGGCACAGAAATGGGCATAGTACAGAAATGGTAGTCACATTCCTTCTATCATAGATAAATAGAGGAACTGTGGGGCAGTACAGAACTAGATGTGGCACAGAATGGATATGGTATGAAAATACAAGTGGCACAGAAATGGGCATAGCATTTATTCATTCAATATATTGTATTGTGTGATAGTTTATAAGTAACATTTTTGTTGATATTTAGCTAACCCTGACAAAGTGAAAACAGAATGACTGTTTCATTTAATTTAATATTAGTAATCAGGCTTCCAAGTTAAATTTTTTCCTAGTGGCCATTGGCAACCAAGTTCAAATTGTTGTTGGCCAACTAGAAAATTTAGTAGCAAGGTACAAAATTGTTTGTTTTCAGAATTGATTAAACGCACAGAAAAACCAGATACATGTATTTTTATATTTCAGATGTGATGACACTTGTGTTGATATGCAAGACACTGATTCACAAATAAAAATGAGATCTACTCTTTTGCTGCAATCAGCATGGGTTATCACTCTGACTTGTAATTCTATATTAAATGCATATGTGCTTTGAAGTTTTTAAAGATAGACAGTACGGATAAAACATTGTTTAAATATGTGAAGCTTGGAGAAACATGTACCGAAAATGATTGACAGCAGAGACCATATCATTTCCCAGCATGCCTTGCAGATTATACTTTTTACCGTGTTTTTTTTTTGTGGTGAAACAATCATTTCTATGTAGTTTGTTTCACTACTGGGTGCTCATGAATATAATCCCCACATAATAAATATATTGATGTGAATATAGGTTGTACAAGTTAGATATTTTAGGGGTTGTTTCCTGGGTGCTGGCTTGGAGGGAACTGAGTGATGAGTAAACAATGGCTACAGTGTTTAACCTGACTGGCACTGTCAATTTTAATTGTGGGTAGAAGTATGCCCCAAGTGTTGACAAGCTGTATAATCTATGTGATCTTGCAGAGAATTCATTGCCACCCAGATTTTGCTTAGGTCGCTGGATATTTCTTTTCAACACCATTGATGAAATATTATCACCTTGGTAACCAAAAAGGTTGCAAATCTATCTATTAATAGAAAAAAATATGATATCCAGCAAAGCTGGCTTGAAAGCATTTAATAAACGTCAAGCAATAACAGTGGCAAATATTGAACTTTCTGTAAACATGTTGTTTTCACCTTTTGACCCAAAGAGCAAACACAGATCGAAAAAACAGCATGGCAAGGACAAATAGACCTTCAGAGTATGAATAACATTTACAGATCAAAGGTGGAGAGAATAATGCAGATTCTATTGTATATACATTGATACTACCGGTAATTATCATACTACATATGTATGTAAATCGGTGTGATCAAAATTTGCATGAATTGTTAGATGATAGTATAATTGTATTAAAGACAAGTTCTACAAACACTATACAAATAAGTATGTATGTGATATAACTGATTAGCATTGTCTCTGATTGTATTTTAACTGTGTCCTTGAGTATTCACAGAGTACTTAGTATGTTTTTTTGTTTTCTTTAAACAGCTCAATAACCTTGCTTACAATATGTATTCTAATTTAGGCATTAGGAAAGAGTGAAAGGCCTTGATTTGATTCTACTATAGGAGTCACAAAATGTTGAAAAATTCAGTCCAACAACAACAAAAATGACAGAATGTGATAACAAAATTAATATTTTAATTTAAATGTAATGTGAAACAGATTTGATTTTGTTGATAATGACAAGAATAGAGCAAGTTTCAATTAAAAACAACCTTGTATAATTTGGTTACAAGATTCCACAAGCAAAAACTTATATATTACTTGGTTGTGTTGTGATCACATACAAAAAAATGATTCATTACTGTAGTTATTTTAAGTAAAATTCAATTTAGCTTCATCAAAAGCAAATGTCGCAGACACACTGGTTCAGAATAATGTTTGCCACGATTTTTTCATGCACAAGTTGACCTGAAACTATGTCCTTTGATCTGATAGGTCATTGTCAAATCAGTTATTAACCAATCAGCTGGGTTGTGCCAGCCAACTTATTCCTGGATATTACTGATGGCTATGCAAAACAGAAGAGATATTTATCAAGATTGATTTCAGTGGAAAAACAGCATGTTTTTTTTTTTACAAAAAACATTCAAGAAGTTTTTAACACTTCACGATGAAAATAACTCATTGTCAAAATGGTGTTTACTCATTCACACTGGTCTCAATAAAACATTGTAGTCATGAAAAGGCATCAGTGACTACGAAAAACCCAAAGTGTACTCTAATTTAGGTATCAGGAAAGATTGAGATGTCATTGGTCAAAAAAAACAACACTATGCATATTCTTATTCATATGTTTTATCAGAGATACATTACTTTGGGTTTGCAACGCGCATAGTACTGTATGGTGACATCATGCCAAGATCCCATTCAAGTCTCATCTCGTAGATAGCGAGACTGATGCTACGACCTTCTGACATGACATAGGCAGTTTGTAATAAAACAATAAAACATGTATTACCACATTCATAGTGAAAAAATGTAATACATCGAAAATGTACAGAAAATATAGTTATCGTAATCCGTCATATCGTGGGCAGCTATTTTGATCCACCTGGACATCCCAGTATCCTAGTTACCTCGGGCATGCGCATTCGCATGTTTCTGAGTTGGAACACTTATGTGAGAGCGAGATTGAAACGGGATCTTGGTATCATGTCACCGTAGTTGTAAACCCCATCAGTCATGCTGTGACAATGATTACTTACTTGATGCACAGTTATATAATGCACAGTTATACTTATTTAAAACTTCTATTGGGACTTACTTCTAGGCTTCGCACATCCACTAATCTTGGCCCATTTCGGAGTTTCTCCTATCGAGTGGTATCGTACAGTTTCTAAAAGTTTCACCTTGCCATTGTTTAGAAGATCGTAAGATTCATAGTGACCTGGTGGGAATGGCATTAAGTCGATGTCATGGTCTTTGTCACCATGCGCAAGACCAGTCAGTCCTGAAAGTGACAAATATTGAGGTATAACAGTAAGAATACTTTACAAAAAAAAATGTTTTTGAAAAACACGCATATAAAAAAAAACACATTATATTTATAAGAGTATATATATACTCAACCAGCAGTTACACATTGTATGAGCTAATGCAGTTATGTCAGCTGTACTAATTTATGCATGAGAGCTTCGTGTACTAGCTGGGCACAATCTGATTGAAATCCTATGTAGGTATAGGCTCAAATTTTTTATTTTTTTTTATTTATGAATATTTTTTTGTTTTAATTGCCCTTATTAATTTTTTCATATATTGAATCTCGGTCACTTAACTATCGCATAC